GCCTTCATGTCTGGCATCTGATGTGATCCATACTCTGCCCTTACGAGCAAGGGCTATTATCTTCATTAACTGGCTCGTTGGAAGTCACGCTATTAGGGAGAGCAGAGGTTGGAAGCAGACTTTTGGAGCCTGAGCGCTTTCCACCAGAACTTGACCTGTGAAGCTGACTCCGGCTCCATCACAGTGATACCCCGAGGGCCCCTGCAGACCCTACTCATCTGATCAGGCGCGAATGACCCCTTCTGAACCAATCAGGGGCCAGGTTGCACTGCGTGGTCTCCTGCCATCCAAACTGCATTGAAGGGAAAGATTTGAAGAGAAAAGCAGTTGGACAGGAATTCGATTTTAATTAAAATGTATTTACTACAGAACACACTGAAGCTAGAGAAGAGTTTAATGGGGGGTTGGTATGTGGGTGGGTGGAAGTGTGGAGTGGATAATAGAGGGGAGGTCAGAATGACATGACTTTCTGAGAGGTAAAAAGCATGAATTCCTTCTACGAGTTCATGCCCGCCCTGGTCTGTACCAACCCAGCAAATGGCCCTGTGTCCCTCCTTTCCCACTGCACTCAGCTTTCAATCAAGTGTCCACCTCTCTCCCCCACAGCCTGGTGTCTCTGGGGAAGCTGAGGCCGCCCGCCCCCCCCCCCCCCGACCGCCCCAGGCAGGGGCCCCGCCTGGCACAGCCAATCAGCACATTCCAGTCCTCTGGCTACCCTAGGGGTTCAGGTGGGCATGTGACCCAATCCAGGCAGAGTGCGTCTCAGGACTCCTGCTTGGAATGCTAGGTCAGAAATGTTCTCTTTGGGATAAGGTTGCTTGTGGCAAGAAAAGCTGTTGGCACTGGCCGCAATGAGGAAAACCAGCCTGAAGACAAAGCCAACACGGAGGAGGGCAGAGCCAAGAGAATTGTAAAGAAAGGTAGCTGGAGCTCTTACTTCTGGTCTCTTCTGTCCTAGGAGTCTCTTTCTCTCCTGTTGTGGTTAGGTGTTTTCTACTGCATGTGGAATACACTGACTGCTAGCCCTGACTTCTGTGGAAAGAGACAGCTCTATCTATACCCTGGTCCTGAAGATGGAGTCTGCTTGGACCACCGGCATGTCTGTTGGACCAGTCACCACGGGGGCTCTATGGTCGGCCAGGCCTGGGAGCTGTGCCTAGTCTTGTAACCTGGAGAGTGTATAGAGCACAGGCTCAGATGTCAGCCATGCAGATTCACCCTGCCGTATGCTGGCTCCTGGGAGAGCCTTGTGCGGGTGGGGCTAGACTACTTTCATAACCCTGTGTCTCTTCCTCTCACCCCCTGCACACCTACTGTCTCTGTTTGCTTTCTTATGTCATCTCCTGCCTGCTCTCAGCTCTCCAGAGCCGACTTTCCCATCATTGCTGCCAATAGGCACACTTTCCCCAAAGTGCTACGGTCTCTCTGAGGGCATTACTGATTTTGATAGGTGCCATTTCTCCCCCAACTGTCTCTGGAAAACCCACTGAAAATGTGGTAGGCCTGATGAGTGCCTAGTGACCTTGCAAACATATGTCTTATCTATGAAACATAGGGCATTGTGAGGCCTATCAGGAAGATAACGGGCTAGAACAAGGCCCCAGTGATCTTGCACTCCTGTGTCTGTTTGAGGGAGGTACAAATGTTTCCACTTCCTGGCTTAGAAAGTCCTCCTCCAAAGAGCTCCCAAGGTGGCCTGGGGCCAGTCAGCCTTTTCTCATCATTTAAGAAGGTCATCAGACTTTGCATAGATACCAGCCTTCCACTTCCTTCCGAAAGCCCAAGGGCCTTTGATAGCTGCATGGGCAGGAACTGGTGAGAACCATAATCACTGTTTTACCCCTTCCTGGAACGTAAGTACAGGAGGAAGGGGCCCGAGGGTAGGGACCCTGTCTCATTTGGAGGGGGAGACACAGGTGGTCTCACTCTTCTCCCTGCCCTTCAAATGTCATAAGAAGCACCCTAGCTTCTCCACAGAAAATCTTTGCATTCCACTTAGTTCAATTCTGACCTTTCTTCAAGCAAATTGCCGGGCTTGAAATAAAAAGAAGCCAGGCCTGCCACCCCCACAGCAGTCTTGGAGTACCGTCAGGTAGATAACCAATGATGATGGAGATCACCAGCTGAAGTTTTCTCGAGGGAGGCACGCATGTGCTGGTAAACCCATGGCTTCCAGTCTGAGATGCAGATATTTTTAGGGATGAATCTGGGCCTGCCTTCTCTCCCTCCCTCTGATGCTAATGTGGCCATCTGCATCTCCTAGACAACCTTCGGCAGCACACATTCACCGTCCTGAGAAGAGTGGGTTGGGGAAGGGATTATTATTAAATATAGCTTACTGAGTCGTGGCACGAGGAGCTTGAGCTTGCCTGTGTGCTAAGAGGGAGGCCGGGGCCTCAGAGACCTGGAACCCATTCCCACACTCCCTGACACTCACAAGCGCCTTCCCTTCCCTGGGACTCCATTTGTTTTTTAAATTTCTTTAATCTGTTAAGTGAGGGGCTTAGATGGTATTTCCTCTCTGGCCCCTTCTAACTTTGCATGACCTTCTCTTTGAAGAGCTTAGTCGTATAAACTCCTAGACACACAGTCCAGTGGGAGATGCCATGGTTGCTGCTATGTCCAGAGGGGGTGAGGTTGTCATCTCCTGTCTCCCATTTCTCTCTACCCTGCAGCGAGATGGCCAGGAGGGGTAACTTGTGTGTGGAGGTGAGGGGCCCTGGCTCAAGAGGTCCCAAGGCGATATTATCTCCATCCATGCACTAAGCCCCCATGAACTCCCAGCTTGCCCTAAAAGCTCACCTAGCAAGGTTCTTTCTTACCTGAGCCCCTGAGTTAAAAAAGTGGGGTCGGAAAAACAAAACAAAACAAAAAGTTTGGGTCGGGGAGAAGAGGCAAAGCTCCTAGGAAGGCACGGCTAAGTTTTAGTTTTTGAGCTACTAGAACTTCTATACTGAGCAGTGTTCTTGCAAAACTTGGTTGGCCCAAAGTGTTCCTGAAGTAGTGTTAAATGTGTTTAACTTGGAGAATATTGTGCTAGAGATAAGGTGATGGGAATTATAAAAGATACAAGTAATAAAGAATAGAACTCCCATAGCCCCTTGTACTTCTGGTTATTTATCAGCTGTATTGTAAGTTACATGAATGCAGGAACCGTGTCCAGCTCACAGTAGCATTTGTGAACTGAATGAATGACTCTCTCCAGCTCCATCCCCAACAGGGTTGCCTCAGACGCAGGCCAGAAGGAAGAGGCCTTATGTCCCCTGAGGCTTTGTGCTGGGGGCAGAGGCAACACCATTTCTGAAGCTCCTTTCTGTCTAGCGTTTCCTGTATCAGTCTGTAAATAAAGCAGGGCCATGCTGGTCTCATCTCCTGGCCCTAAGAGTGCCCAGGCCTGAGCTCAGCAGAATGTTTGGGCAGGTCAGGCTCCAGAGCAGTTCCTTTAGAGATAGACGGGGCCTGCCCAGTGTTCTCGAGCCGCAGCAGGGCTGTAGCGGCCCCAGTGCACAGTGTTAGGCATGCAGAGGCTGGGATCAGATAGCTTGAGGCTCAAATTCTGACCCTGTTACTTATTAACCGTGTGACCTTGAAAAGTACCTTTCCCTCACTGAGTCTCACTTTCCACATCTGTTAAAGGGAACAATAGCAAAGATACAGACCTTACAGAGCCATCATCAGGACTGAGAAAATGTGCACAGAGCCCACTCCATCCACGGGCATCGCAGGCAGTGTTCCGTCAAGAGGAGAGCCGCCGCTCTGGGAGTCACTGCTGACTTCTACAAACTGAGCAGGACAGCTCTTGCTGAAGTTCAACTACAGGAAGTTGATGGAACTCTGAAGATGCTAAGAGAGCTACCAGGTAGGACAATCCCTGGGAAACCCAAAAGGCCTGGAGTAGGATCCCCTGATAAGGAACAGAGAGAACAAAGAAAGCCCCAGGTTTGATGGGGGCAAGCTGTTCTGTTTCTACGTGCCTGGCAAGGGAACAAAGTTTCTCTAGAGGGTGGTCTGGAGCTGTGGAAATTCTAGCAGCCTGAGCCACAACACTCTTTACTCACCGCCCAAGCTTGCCTGTTCTCTCCTGGGTCAGCTCAGTTCCCAGAACACTCATGGATGCCTGCATTGGGCCCAGCCAGTGATAAGAGCCCAGGCTCCAGAGGTGAGTAAGACATGGCCCCTGCCCCTGGGATCCGTGTTCATGATCACTGCTATGCCCGGGGCAGTCTGCACAAGTTGTTGGTGTACAAAGCCGCTTGGCAGCCCTCACTAGGCCCCACCTGTTCACACTGTTTTCTGTGGCTGGTGCTCTCTGCGGCGGAGGGCGTATGGGCAACCCAGGAGCGTGGGCAGAGAAGAGATTAAGGCAGCCATTTGACAGTCAAGAGAAGAGGGTGCTTAGGTGATGTGACTAAGGTCACGTGGCTGGTCTGCACTACGGCCGCTCTTCCCACTAGCGGCGTTCTAAGCAAGGCCGGTCCAGGTGAGGGGAAGAGCCTATCAGCTAACAGGGCGTTTGCTGAAGCCCGGCTGGTCAAGAGCAAAAGCAAGGAGGGAGGTCCACAGCTGTTACAGGAAGTGCCATGCTGCTCCCTTACTTCCAAAAGGGGAAACTGAGGCTTGCTTTCCAGCTGCCCAGGCCAAGGAGCCTGAGGTCCAGCCCCTGCCTCTCCGCCGACACTAGGATACTAGCACCCAGGTTTTCATCTAGCAGCACCATTACGCCCCGCCTTCATCGGCCCCCCGCTGGTCTCAGACCTGTGCTGGTCTGGGTGGGAGCGCCCTCGGCTCCTTGCGCTCGGGGCACGGCTACAGCCCACGTGCGCCCGCCGGCAGACGCGGTGACAGCTGGCCCCGTGGGGGCGGAGCGGGCGAGGAGCTGGGGTGGGCTCCGCGCCGCACTGCCATTGGCCGCGGGCCTCGGGTCGGGGGCGGGGCGCGCCCCCAGCCGCTCTGTCATTGGCCGCGCCGCCGATGGGGGCGGCCCCCAGCGCAGTCAGCCGCGCGGCGCAGAAGTGCAGGCGCTCGCCTGGCTAAGGCTGCGCGGGGCTGCCTCCCTAGCTCCCAGCTCCGCAGGCGGCCTGCGGGTCCTGACCGCCGCGTGCGCGGCCCGAGGTGAAGGCAGAAGCTGACCCGAGGCTCGGTGGCTGGCGCGGATCTCGGTAAGGGGGGTGGGGTGCGGGGCTCCAGGGAGGGAGGGTCTGGAGGGCGGGCGGGGACCATGGCAGCCGAGCCTGGACTCTGCGCCCTGGCCCGCGCCGGGGACAGTCAGGTGCGGCCGCAGCATCTCTCGCTTCAAACCCACCCCGCGGGGCGTCCGGCAAGCAGGTGGCCCTGCCCGGGGAGGTTGGGGCTGCCCGATAGGTCTCTGAATCGATTAGAACGCAATAAAAGCCTGCCACCCGTACCCCGAACTACCTCCTACTCCGCCCCAACACCCAAACCCTGCAATTCTAAGCCGAGAAAATCCCCAAACGTCAACACGGAGTGGGCGCGACGCGCCCGCAGTACCGCATGCCACAGGGGCAGACCATCCCCAAACTTTGCTTTCCCATAATTTGGGCTCTGCTCTGTTCACGCTCTTTCCCGGGTCTTCACTGGGCGCTTCCCTACCCGCCGCGGTTCTTCTCCCTCCTTAACAACAGGAAGTTAAGTTGGGCCAAATGTCAGTGGCCTGGCCGCCTGCGGGCTGGGATTGGGACTGAGTCTGGGGCCCGGGCGTGGAGGTGGTCAGGGGACAGCGGCGCTGTCCTGTCTGTCGTGTATCCCCCAGCAGCCCAGGCGCACCCCAGGCCTGGGAGCACCCGGCGGGGGCGTCTGCGCCTCCCTTTTCGTTGTCGTCGTCTGTACTAGCTCTGGGAAGAAATGGGGTCTTGCCGGCAGCGTCTGCCACCGCTGACCTGGCTTCCGGACTGGAGCAAGTGGGGTTAACTTTATCCTAGGCCAGCCTCCCCGCAGAGCTGGGAATCATAGCCTTTGCTGGATGGGGAAGAGGCGTGTTGAAACCAGAGTAAACGTGTGCCTCTTTCCACGTTGTTAATTCTGTAACCTGGGTTCTTAAGGCCAAAAGAGCTTTTATTTGGAGGGCCATCCTGCCTTGTGGGACTTGAGGTGGCAGTATGTGGACCTTCTTGCTGTCAGCCTCCCTTGCTCACTCTAGTCTTCTGTGGTTTCAGGCGGTGGGGGGCCGGGGGGTGAAGTCACTAGCTGGCCCCCTTGTGGGCAGGTCCCTTGGAAAGAAAGCCAGCAGCGGGTTGGCCCTCTGGTGTTTATGTGCCTGGGTGCCTGGCACCTGGACCAGCTCTTTTCTTGTCCCCTTCCTGGGGCCAACAAGAGGGCCTCAAGTCTCCAGGACAGCCCCAACTGATGTTCTGAAGACTTCTTGCAGGAAGAGCTTGCCTTTGGGCAGAAGACAGATTTATTACGTGCCTACGGACAGACAGGGCCTGCCCTGTGGCACTTTTGCAGCAGATTTCATGGTTATTATCCAAACACTCAGTTTTGCCCTCCTCATTTTAGATGTGGGGAAACAGACTCGGGTAGCATAAGTGCCCAAGGTCACACAGAAAGTGGCTGAGCCAGGATTTGGACCAGGCTCTGCCAGAACTATATTCAGTGTTCTTCCTGCTGCCCTGTGGCTCTAGAAAGTGATGTCTGCAGGATCATGGCACTCCCTTGTGCTGATTGGAGCCTCCTGGCCTTTGAAAAGATTCTGTCTAAAGATTCAGAGGCTGCTTCTTTGGCAAAGCACTTGAACTGACCCTGGTTAGCCCAGGTTGTTCAACCTGCAGACCACTTGCTCACTCTGTCCTCTGGTCAGAGATGAATGGCTGGTATTGGTCATGCTGTACTGGGGAGGGATTTGACCTGCTGGTGTTTGGGTACTATGGGGGGTGCGGGGCTGGGGAGGAAGCCTGCCTGTGCCATTGACTTGGTCTCACCTCTGAAAGTTGGTTTCTGGGATAGTCTAGGAAGACTATTAGCTGAAATAACCTCTACCTTAGATCTGATCCTGACTTTGTTTGTTTTGTTTTGGGGGGACAGTTGTTAAGCTATATTAGTTATGGTTGTAAGGTGATTGAGATCCCCAGATCTTCTTATCTGTGCCACCTTCCTTCTTCAGTCCTGGAGCTCTGGCTTTCTGCTCATCCCTCTCTTCTAAAAGAAAATCATGATTAGCCTAATACCAACCAGTTGTACTTTACTAAAAAGCATCTTATGGACTAAGGCTGGTTTTAGCTATGTTCATTGAAGGCCCATTCCCAGGAGCAGCAAGGAGCAAAGGAACAGTTGGGTAACCCTCCTCTGCCTATAATTGGGGTGTGTTTCTTCTCTCTGCCCACGTCCATACCCTCATCTGGGTGTGCCTGTCAACAACCATGGACCTGTTCCTTTCACTCCCTGCTTCTGAAGGGTAGAGGTCCTGCCTTCTTGGTGGAGAGCCTTCATTCTGGCTGGAGGGGTAGAGTATGGACGCAAGAAAATTTGGGCTGAACATTGCTCGTCTTAGAAGCCCTGCCAGGGCTAAAAGTCTCTGTTGTTTAAAGAGCCAGGGAAGGGAATACTGTTCATCATGTGGGGAATTTTCACTGTTTATATCAGTAGGTCCCCACATTAGCCCTCCAAAGAAGTGACTGGGGTTGTCCCCATTTTATAGATGAGGCGACTGAGACTGGGGAAGGTTGAAAGTACCCCCCTCCCCCGCTTGCTTCACGTGGCTAGTGAGTAACCAAGCTAGGCTTCTGGTCTCAGTCTGTATGAATGAGATTGAGGTGGTGAGTTAAGGACTGAAGGAAGCAGGAAAATCTGGTGGCTGTGCTCTGTAGTCTGGAGGGGTGGTGTGGGCCGCTCCCTCGCTGCATTCACTAGTCCCCAACTTCTGTTATAATTCTTTGTGAACATGGCTTCCCACCCCACTATGAAATGGCTTTTAAAACCCTCACAAAACTTAGCAGATTTCTTTCCTGGTTCTTACAAATCCTCCTTGCTCTTTGCTCCGTATTCCCTTAGCCTTTTGTACCAGTCTTCATTAAGCTGTCCACCATAGTGTACTGCCATCCTCTATTTTACCATATCCACGAACATTTTCAAACAAATAAAGACAATAATATAATGAGCCCCATATACTCATTATCTAGCTTCAACAGTCATCAAGATTACACCGGGTTGGCTTCATCTCTTTATTTTTCTCCCCTTCTGTCTTTTCTTCCTGAAGTATTTTAAAGCAAATCTCTGATACCATGTCATTTTGCCCCTATCTAACCCAGTATATATCTATTTTTAAAAGAATGTTTTTTTTTTTTTTTCCGTAACCACATTGCCATTATAGCATGTAATAAAATGAGCAATAGTTCTTCGGTCTCATCTGTCCGTATTAAGAGTTCCCGGATTGTCTCCGAAAGGACGTTCGGAATTGGTTTGTTCGAATCAGGATCCAAGTCTGTATGCTACATTTGGTTGCTAGTCTTTTTATGCCTATTTTAATCTGGAGCAGCCTTCCCTCCGCTTTTTAACCAGCCACGACCCTCCGTCTTAAGTGCCCACCTCCCCCACTGGCCGGCAACCCCTGCAAGGCTGTAATCCACTTCTGTGCCCAGCTGGAACCCTGTGTGGCCTCTGGGATGGGGCAGAGGCTAGCTGAGCATCTGTCCAGTGATGTCGCAGCCACTCAGGCAGTGCATTTTGAGTGAATAAACCCTGTCCTGGGCTTGTGTGACTGCTTGTGACAGTGTTTAGATAAGAGGGTTAAAAAAAAAGATGACTTGATCGGGTGTGGAGGTTTCCTTAGCAAGCATCAGTCTGTACACATTGTGAAATAACAGAACTATTTGCTGTGCTCACCACACTGCTCTGGTTTGTGGTGGGGAGCCCAGATGGCCGCCTTTCTGCCCTGATCAGCAACCGGTCTCCCCCGATCATCTGTGGGGCAGACGGTGACTGAGGTCATTTCTGCCAGAGCTTGGAATCCCAACTCACTCAGCCAAAGGCATCAGCACATTCTGACCCAGACACTTGGCGTTTGGGCTCCACAGAGACCTCTGCACACCTCTGTCTGGGCAGCGCTCCTTCCTTGTGCCTTGCCGAGCTCCCCTGACCTGCCCCACACCTGGCCAGTTGTGGAGCCTTACTCAAACGACGCACACTCATGACCTTTCAGTATCTTGTCTGAGTTTGCGGAGAAGAGCTAGTGTTGCCTCTGGCACCTTTGTGGGCATCCTACTGAAGGAGACGGGAGGCTCAGGAGGGAAGGAAAAGGTACGCGTCACTCCTGGATTCCCTGTCAAATCTCCGTAAGATCTGACCCACCCGCGAGGGGCCCCCTCTGCAAACAGCCCTCAGAATGAGGAGTTGTTTTTTTCTTCTTCTTATTTGTTGTTGTTTGTTTTGTCTTGGGTTTTTGTTGTTGTTTTTCACGTAGTCTTTTCCACCAGGCGAGTCCTTCTTTTTTGATAGCAGTGCTACAGTTGATTATTTTCCTTTATCTTTAGTCATCTTAGTATTTTCTCCAAATTTTTACAATAAAAACATTTTTCTAGTGGAAAATCCAAATACTTGGTGTCTTTTTCCTTAAAAAAGAGAATTTTCTTCAATGTGGATGGGTAGACAAAATTATACATGCATTTTTGTACAGCTATGTATGAGGATAAGATCACAGAGCCATTGGGATTTTGATATTTGCCTATTTTATTTATTTGTTTTATGACATTATCTTCAAGAACTTACCTGGGCTTCCTCAAATTAGGGAATCAAGAAAGCTGGGGCTTAGGAAACAGGAACCCATGGAACCCATGCAGCCTCACCCTCTTTCCCATTCTACCTCCTCCCTTTCCTTCTTGAGAATTTCATTTTGGTTTCCCTGAAATTGTTCTAATGGTAGGCTCTTGATTTTTTTTATTCAGCTATCAGAGGCACACAGAATGACATGGTTGTTAAGGCCAGGTAGGCAGGGCAAAGCTTCAGGCCCCAGTGGCCTGTCTTGTCCTCTTGGGGAAGTGCATGATAGCCAAACACCCCACGGACCTCACTTTGGGGGTGGGGATGGCTGACCGCTCCCTCCACCATTTCTGTTTCCTCCCTGCATCTTCTCCAGAGGTAGAAAACATGGCTGGTCTGCACTGATAAATCTCCTCCTTTCTAAAGCACTGATCATCTGGTCTCGCAA